TCGTGCCGCGACTGCCGCTGGGCCTGCACGATCACGCCGGTGCAGAGGAGCAGGGCAATCAGCAGGATGGTGTTCCACAGCTGCTGGAGGTACTTCTGAGGGAGCAGTGTCAGTGGGCACTCAGGGACCAGCTGGGGCGGGGGGCAAACTGGAGACCCCCGCTCCCGGCCCCACCATCGCTGCTGCCCCCATGCCAGGAACCCTGGCTACATGAGGAGCCCTCGCCGGCGCACATACCTGGACCTGCGAGCTATTCTCCCCCGTGCAGATGACCCCCTGCCACTCCCCGTAGAGGCCCCCGCGGGAGAGGCCGCAGGTCGACCACAGGGTGAGGGTCACTCCCTGCAAGGCAGGAGACGGCATTACCAATTGCTGCGACGGCTCGTGGCGCTGGCCAAGGCCAGGAGGGCCCCACTGAGCTGGGCAGACCACACGTGTCGAGGGGAGGAGGAACCGCAGGTGGCTGCCAGCTGCCCCTCTCCCACAGAGCAAGTCTCTGGGGAAACCGAGGCACCGGTAGCTTCAACAGCCTTTGGGGATCTGGCTTGGGCTCTCTGCAGCTCAGCTTCCCCATTGGTCGGGGAAGTCTGGCTGGGCACGGCCATGCCCCTGCCCTCCCACCAGGAGAGGGGGGAGGAGGAGGAGGAGGAAGAGGAGGACCTACATACCAGGTTCTCCAGCAGCACCGCCTGGTATGTGATCTTTGCCGTAGCCCGGAGCCCCCTGTGAGCAAAAGGCGAGAATAGTGTCAATCCCGTGGGCACAGTAGGATCCAGCCCGCAGCACCCCAGCATGAGGGAGCACCCCCTTCCCCATGAACATAGGCAGCCTACGCAGAGCCGTGGGTGAGGGGAGCCACTGGGGACAGAGGAACATGCAGGGGAGGCAGCAGCGAGACTCCCCCTTCCCAGCCGTGCCCAGCCCTCTGAGCAACCCTGCACAGGTATCTTCCTCCCAGCACCATGCCTCAGTTTCCCCATCTGCAACACCACAGTAGCAATACCGATTTACCATGTGGAACGAGGACTGAGGGGGTCATAATGCTGTAGGTGGTGAGGATAAACACCAGCAAAGGCAGTGGAGATGCTGGTGTCATGCTGATAACCAGTCAGTCTGGCTAATTTGTACTGAGAGTCCTAAAGGGCTTGGCCAAGGCCGCTGTCAGTCCCTGCTGCCGCATGGGGACCTGTGGAAGGGCTCAGGCCCTGAGGAAGGGGTGGATCTGACTCACACCCTCTGTGGTAACACGTGTCTCACCCCCAGCTGGCCTCTACACAGTGCGAGCTCGAAACCAGTCCAGCAGATGCAACATGCTGTGGGAGAGGCACCCCCAAGGCAGCCCCCTGGCTGTCACAGCCAGGCAGGGGACCAGGTGCAGAGCTACAGTCTCGCCCAGCTCCCTCCCGCTGCCCCAGCCCGTACCGCAGCAGTGCTCCCAGCAGCTTGGTGACATTGTCCGAGGACTGGATCACGATCACAGGCTTGGCAAGAAGCTGGGAAACGTCCAGCTGCACCGGAGAGGAAAGCAACTGCTGTCAGCGGGGCACAAGAGCAGCTTGGAGACCCGCCGCCAGGACTCTCCTACCTCCCGGATGGCGTTCTGGTTCAGCGCCAGGATGAGCAGGGCCGATGCCCCCAGCACCAGGGCTCGCTTCATCTGTGGAGACAGAGGGTACAGGCTTAGAGGGCAGGACATGGAGGAGGACAGGCAGCTGGCCTGTGCCCTCTCATTCAGCTCCCGTCCCACTGCAGGGAGTGGGCAGCACCTGGTGCCTCTTTGCCCTG